ATCAAAAACCAATATAGTCAATTAAGCCACTAACAGTGTGATACAGTCTAAGATAATATGTGACCCCTTATTTGTTGTTGCAACAGTTTATGTGACATAAAAGACACTTTTTACAATAAATTGTAGATACTTTTTTAGTTGTAAAAACTTTAGCGTAGTCGGTTTAAAAAGTAATTTTCAGCTGCGCACTTTAGGTGGCTCAATTTTGGTATGTTCACTTTTATTCCAAAGGCCACACAACTTTAACATCAAAATGGGGTCTAATGAGAAACCTCCGTTGTGTCATACTTGCTTATCTAACTGTGTAGCACCACCCCCTCATACCCTGAACTGCAATAGATTGAATCCTTTACTTTTAGTATTATAAAGTAATACAGCAAACTAATACTGACATTACAAAATAATACGTTCTTAGTTATTATGATCAGTTAACTTGCAAACGTCTAGAACCGCGCGAGTAACAAAGCAAATTGACAATAAAATCGAATAATCAAACGTAATTTACGCGAATCACTTGATAAATGCTCACGAAGAGCCGCCAACCGTGGTAATTTATGTCGGGCAGGTTGGTATACCTGTAAATCAGCTGTTGCGCCATTGTTGTGCTTATCTGCAGCAAGTGGCAACACTGGTCGAGGTTGTGGTGGCTGCACTGGACTTGAACTCGTGACCCGCTCGCGTGAAGCTTGATGTTATTTTACGGCCTGTTTTTACAATAACGGCTCGTCTATGATGCAACGCTACCTTATATACCGTGATAGTCCCTGGCTAGTGGCTACTATCTGCTTGTGTAGCAAGCTCAAGCTGGAGCTGGCTTGTTGACTGGACAATGACCCAAAGACTAACCGAAGTAAACGAATCAATAGATTTAGCTCATTTACTCCTGGGTGTCTGGAGACTTTATGTACAGAGTGTGACGACCGGTGAATCTGTTATTATGTCGCCAAAACAAGAGGCTGTATATTGGTGGATAATAGAGCTGGGTGTTTCTGTGAGGCGTCTCAGAAGTTTTGAAACGCGTGAGTGCCAAAGTTGTACTTTATAATGTGACATGTGTGTTTCAACCTAGGAGGATTAATCATTAATGAGAGGGCACGCGAATATGGATGCATGGAACACTAGAGGGGCACGCGGAGCCGTAGAGTGGTAAAAAGCCGCCTCTATAACATGGGAGGGATAGGGAAAAACGCGACGCCCGCTGTTTTGAATTAAAATTTCCGCTAAACTAAAACGCCCGTTTTTTTCGCCTATGGCATTCTTAAAGTAAATTAAATTTACTATCGAATGGTGTAATTATATCCTGCAAATATTATTATTTATTATTTACTATTGGAGATCAAAGTTGGAAGAATTGTCTTGGACTTTAAACACATGAGTACTTTAATTACGTTTTTGAAATAAATATGATCTACCCATACAATTTACTCGTACCCCCTAGGAGTTTCTCGAAATGAAAATAATATATTTACCAACATTTAATCGGAGTAGTGTATTAAAAAAAAAGAACCGTATTAACTGTTTTTTTTATTTTTACAGTTTCAAAGCATGCTTATTAAGTTTAGGTTTTAAATAAAAAAATCCAATTTGAATGGTGAAATGAATATTAAATTATCATTCCTTATTACTTACTCGAATTTTTAATACCACTTTTTGCTAGTTTTAAGGCATTTATGTGCTAGGCAAGTAATTTGAAATAGCCGAAGTCAAAAAAATAAAAAAGGTTCCAACAAACATAAAAGTAAAACATTTTCTAAGCCATTAAATTTTATATTTTTAATGTGATATAAAGGTATAACCAATATTAACACAATAGTACTAAGGCAAAAAATAAATACATTCAACCTTTAACAGTTACGTTTAATTAAAAACATATTAAACTGGCCATCTTAGAATTTATTATTCGTTCGTGAATAGGCCTTCATTCTTCTCCTAGGCTTCAACCCAACGCAAACATTAGCATTACCAAGCAAAATGGAACGATCTAAACCACAAAGGCTCTAACTAAATGTTATACTATTTATCGGTTAGAGGTAAAAATCTCACAGATTTAAAAAGGATATTTCATAGACAGAAATGGAATATTTTTTTATAATACACATCTATCCTATTCCTGAGAGCAAAAATAAAATATATTTCATTGCTAAAACTATACATTACAATACTAATAAATAGGTAATGAGCTGAAAAGCACTTGATTATAAAACAAATCATTTTTTGTGTTAGTTTTAAATTAAGATCAACTTCCGTATCATTTTCCACAGAACGGAATAATCGTAGCACCTGCACTTTTACGACGCATAAAGTGACACAGTTATGTAAGCTGTGCAGCGTGCCTTTCTAGCAGGCTTTGTCTACTAACAGCGAAACGTACTCTTGCTATGCTAGAGGTAAATACTGTAATTTATTTCTTGAATCGAAATAATATTTTTTTAATGAATGGTTCACAAAAATTACTATGATGGCATTTACAGAATATTCTATACAATGCTAGAAGTTTTTAGGCAAGTATGAAATGAAATGATAACGATATTAATTTTATGCACTTTGACTAGGCATTGTGTATAATGCCTAGGAATTCTATAGAATATTTGTTAAAAAAGATATTTGTTAAAAGCATTTATTTAGCAGGATTGATTTATTTTGTCTATGGTTAGGTTAGGTTGGATAATTTAATTAGGTTCTGCTACCAACCCCGCGCCGCACAGGACTAAATCAGTATTATGCGTTATCTAAATGTTTGTTGTGTATTCATACGATTTTAATGTTTTTGAGTTCGTGTTGTCCGTGTTTTAATTGTGTTTTTGACGAGTTGCACGCTTTGAAAATGTTGTCTTCACAACGAAACATGTACGCAGATGAGCAATATTAATCGGACTATTTGACGGAGGTATGTAAAACCCTATTATTGTCTTAATTTTAATTAGTTTTTGATTAGGTTAAATAATGCCAAAAAAGAAACAAAAGACTACTAAATAAATCCTTTAAAAGAATTAAATCTTGTGTGTATGGTTGGATTAGGGTTAGGTTAGTTTAGTTTTAAATAAGTCAAATAATGTCAAACAATGGTATAAAAAGGTCTAAAAAAAGTCCTAAAATAGCGTATTTTATTCTTTGCCTACAGTGCCAACAGGCATTCTATAGAATGAATAGGCAAAGGATTGAATGAGCTCTCTTTAATACTTAGCCTGTAACATATACATGGTGGCAAACAATTCTGGAAACGGCTTGTTATCTTTTAACTAAATTCGTTAGAAAATTCAAACCTTACACATAAACTTATATGTATGAAAACTACTTTTTGCAAGCATTGCCATTTTTTTACCTTCACCAGTGGACGGCACATGAGGAGTTGGTACATAATCTTTAATGTAAGCATAGGTTGATATGCACATCATGTATGGTCAAGTGGTGTTTATTGCCGGAAACTGTGTCAAAAAAGGTTCATCCGTTACAAAATAACGGCAGTCCAAAGTTCTTGCGGAATATACCTGCACAGGCATTAGTATTGGTAAATACTCATAGTCAACATCAGCCGGGAAATCTGAAACCCGGTAAAATTGGTTTTGAAGATTGAATAAATTTAGTCTATGAGCTAGAGTTCACTTCAAAATACAATTTCAGCTCTCAAGCTAATGTTTAGTACGAGTATTTACCAATACTAAGGCCTGTGCAGGTGAACTTTGGACAGCCGCCATTTTGTAACGTATAAACCTTTTGATATGCGGTTTCCGGCGATGAACTCCACTTGACCAACCCTTTAAAATGATGTGCATATCAATCAACCTATGCTTACATTAAAGATTATGTACCTAATCCTCATGGGTCCCCTGGTAGAGGCAAAAAAAATTATAATGCTTGGAAAAAGTAGTTTTCATACGTATGTAAGTTGATGTGAAAGGTTTGAATTTTCTAACAGATTTAGTTAAAAAGATATTAAGCCCTTTACAGACTTTTTTGTCACCCTGTATAAGTCGGACAAATGTGAAATTGGTGAGCACAAATAGTGGAAAGTCTAATTTTTTTGTGATTTATTTCCCATATTGGGAATAAGCCATTTATTTCTGATTTACCTCCGTGACTGCCTATTTTTCCACTAACCTTTGAAAATGACACTTGTCTTGTAATCTATCTTTATAAGTGTCCATAATATTTCTTTCAAAATTATTACTATTATGGAGGTGAGTGTGCCTTTCATTGCTTTTCCTCCATTTATAAAGAGGTCTGTCAGCTCTGAAGAGCTCTTTCTTCTATTTATTTGATATTCTGTGATGGGCTTTTTGTAGCCTATGGCTACAACAAGAGATCAGGCGTTTTATAATTAAGAGCCCATAAAGTAGCCCATATAAGTAAGTTAAAGGTCCTGGTTTGATCTTTTGTAAAATTTATGATATTTTCCTAGATTAAACACTCCAGCTACCCAGCCAGTATTATTTGTAAACCTCACCACTCTATTCTCTAAAATTCTTATGAAGAGGAAGATACAATATTATTATCATTATCGTTATCGATTAATATGTGGACGTATCCTAGGTGTGTACAGTATCAGCGAATTTCCCTATAGGGAAGTAGCTATTACTGTAGGTGGCATGGTAAGACCTAGACCCGACACCACTTTATTTTTTCATTTTGATCTCCCCAGAGGCTATTTGTTGAAATTTTCTTAACCAAAATATGAATGAAGCGATGAGTGTAGGTTGGTGTGAGATTTGTTACTGACTAAGATCAGCTGTTTTTTTCAGTCAGGATAATTTATTTAAAGCCTAATTATCAGGGACAGCTGGGTCTAGTTTCGAACCATCAAAAATGTTCTAACTTTTCTCAGGATCGAACCGGCGACCTATTGATTGCTTGGCGAGCACTTTAGCCTAGCCACTCCACCTACCCAGCCAGTAAGGCTCACACAAAATTCAACACTTTGAAAATCACTTTGGAGCAAATCAACATTTTGAAATGAAAAGCTCATACTTTAACGTCAAGGTAAGAAATGAGAAAGAGAAGTATACAAGTAGAAAATATGTTTTTTATTATTATAACTATTTATATGATAATACATCTGTACAGTGTTGTGTTCGTTGGCGTGAGATCGCTAGAAGTAGACGGTTAGATTGAGCTGGTCGTTCCTCACATCTGTGGTCAGAGGAGTGACACTTACATCTGGGTCTAGCTCCGTCTGAACAAACAAACAAAACAATTTAGACACTGTAAAAAAATCCTAAAGGATGTCTGTGTACTTGATGACATGCTTTTGAAATCAATGTCCATTACTATGGGGTGAGTATGACAGAACTCTTTATGGCTATGTTCTTCATAAGCTTAAAACTGTACAACAATCCATTTTACAGCATTTGGACTCCTTTAATTAAATACTAGATGACACTACACTAACACACCCCTAAAACGCTAGCTTCCTGATGTGACAGGAAATGTTTGGATGATTAGTGATTGTGATATCAATAGTGAAAAAAAATACTGGGCTCTGGCCAGCCTCTCTAGGAATGTCTTGTTGCCTCAAACTCTCATACCGTGCTTTTGGACAGCAGTTCTGGAAGAGAGTGTGTTGACGTTGTCAAGGATGTACATAGTGTAATCTAACATGCAGTGAAAAAACACTGAGAAAATATCCAATATCGCAAACATTGGCTTTTAATGGTTATCGAAGATTTGTCTGTTTGTGCTCCCATATCAACTAACAATAATTACAACTGATTTAGTAAAGTCTGTTCATTCTGAGGAAGGCGATTGAACGCCACTACTTTTGGAGGCTTATCAGGTAAATAGTGGTGGTATGGGGATAGAGATCTGTAGGTTGAATAGGATCTTACACAAGACCTGATGTGAAAAATAAATTGTAAAAAAGGTATACTCATAACACACCTTGTTGTTGCGAGGTCCTATGCTTCCGTCACTCTCATCGTCCCAGCTGAGTTTCTTGACTCTCCGAGGTATTGACCCTGGGGGCCACCTGGTGTTTGGTGGGGACGGAGAGGGGGACGAGGCCCCTCCAGGCACTGTAGGGGGTGCAGGTGCTTGCTGACGCTTGTGGGCCCCTGTCTGGGTTGGTGGCCCTGGTCGCTTGTTGGGGGCCTGACTTACTCTTGTGTTGGAGTTGCGGGCCATTATACCTGGAAACAGTCATACTTTAGTTCTTATTCAATATAAAAGGAGTCTTCATATTATTTAAAACAGAGAGGAAGTAAAAAAAAACTTAATTATCAATTTTTCAGAATACACAAGCTTGCGGTTTGCATGTGAAGCTATGGGCCCAAGAGATATTTACGCCCCATCTCCCCTTCCTTCCTTGAGAAATATTTCTGTTCCTTGCGCCCCTTACAAACCAAAAATCCTGCACCCAGAACGGCCCTAAAAAGGCAGGGAAATCTGTTCAAAGATGCAATCCATGTCGAAAACGATTGAGTTAAGTCGGTCGGTATTAAGTCAATTTTATTCCACTCTCATCACTTCACTAAAAGAGAAAAACAATGTAGATATTTTTTTTATAAAGGGAAGAATGAGTGTAGAATAGAGTGAGATGACTTGTAATATTAATTTTTTAACTTGATATTAATTTTTTTGCACTAAATAAGATTAGTTTTTTTAGCCAGGGATGTTTTCATTTAAACATTATAAGAAATCGTGGATCTATAGCTTTCATCATCTATACTATACTATAGTGCAGTTTTTATTCTATTGGAAACTTAAATAACTAGGACTGGACTACATACTTGGCATCAAATACAATTTACTTACTCTTAACAGTGGCAGTGTACTGTGAGGTGATCTGAGGCATTGTGTTGTCGACAATGTTTGGTGTTCCGTTGAACACAGGGTTGTCAATCTTGTTGTTGGTGTTCAACAGGTTTCCGTTCTCCGTTGGTTGACTGGCAATGTTGTTGTTTGGAGGCAACTTCTCCGGCTCAATGGGGACGACTGCCTTCCCTTCCTTGCTGCTTTTTGGTTGTTTGCTAGGGAAGTTATTGATGTTAGTTTCTGTTGCAGCTATCAAGGTATAATCCAATTGCTATTGAATTCATATAAATAACTACACAATGAATTTGACTTTACCAAACAATTTTGTCAAAAAATTGAGTTGTAGCCTGTAGGTAGTGGCGTAGTCATAATTTTTCCAGCGTAGGTATGCTTACTTTTTATTGGAAAAAACAAATGTCGCCTAATAAATATATGATTCTGGAAAAAGTTGGGGGTATATAGTGGTCCCTTTCCACCGGTTGTCAGTAATTGATATACCGTAGTCCTATTTGAATGACTAGCTCATTGTTATGATGCAAAAATGTATAACATGTTGGCTTCTCAGATTTGCATGTTTTAAAAGTAGCTGTATATCAAACAAGCAAACCTTTTTGAGCATTTTATATTATTGATGGCACAATTCATTAAAGTCTTCATGACTACAAATTGGTCATGGGAATGGAATAGATATTTCAAATACGTTTATCAGTCAAATTCCCATGTTTGAAGAGATTGATGAAATACTTACGTCTTGTGTATGTACAGTATGAGGATGACTATGATTAGTCCCAGTAGGCCGAGTATAGAGGCAAACACCACAACCAGAGTGTGGCTTGTGCCTGGCCATGTCAGCCCAGCTCTCATCACTACCGCTTCTGGCAGATGAACCATCACTGGCACTGACGTCTGTAATGTTCAAATAAATATTAACGTTAAATAAGAACAAATAATAGACTTTGAACAAAATTAATATTTGATGTAGGCTGCCTGAGCAACTTTCACATGATCATCATTTGCAATTTGTGTCAACTGTTTCATAATCAGCAAAAATACATCTTCAGGTCCAAAAACATCAACATTTCTTTTCCTAAGTTGTGTTTGTCACTGTAGTAGGACACAACACATTATAGAAAGGTGTAAACAAGAAGATAGTGGCATTAAAAAAAACTAAACACAACTTGGCCAAGTACTAATATTGTGTGATGCAGTAGCGGTGAAAAGTGAGTCAAGACACTGTTTATTTATGATTTGTGGCAAAGAAAATTCATAATTTGAAGTGTATCTAACAAAGCATCATCCCATCCAGTCAACTCCCTTGGTGAGTCACTTCTGTTCAGCGGGAATGACAGGTGACCTTTCCATGAGTAGGACACCAGATCAACCAAGATGGGATTCAACCCCCTTACAATCAGCCTTTGAATCTCAAAAGGCTTGAATCTATTACTCGACTCAATATTTCATCCTATTTCTTAGTTCTAACCAAAACCAAACTCTCCATATGTATTGAACATTTGACTTTTGAGGATATATATTTTTTTATGATCTCTAATGCTTACCTGTCTGGGGGGAAGGCCGTTGTCTGTAGCCACTGCCACCAAATGAGCCGTGCTGCTGTTGAGCAGAGATAGATCTCTTAGTCTTATCTCACCAGAGTCATCGATCGAGAACATTCTGAAACAAAGAAGAATTTTTTTATTGAGTCTCCTGATGGGTCTAATACAATCTCTTAGGAAAATCGCCCAACCCACTTTTTAACAACAATATACATTTTGAATGTATTTCTAGAGTAATTCGGATGCATGGTGTGTTTAGCTTAGAATGGGCTGATGTTTCTTCAGCCAGGACCATATATTAAAAGGTTCCTTCTTGTGCGTTTTGGTACCACTGGTTCTTGGGAACACTACCGGTAAAAGAACGGGTGTTTTTTTTTGTGTACCAGTACTGGTACTTCTGTTCCAAACAGTGGGTGGCTGTTAGATTTAGGATAAAAGGTACCAACTCCACTATGCAAACTCTTTTAGTGCAAACTCTTATTCACCATGCCCAACTAAGTGAAATAAAAGGACATTCAGAGAGCAATACTATAATTAAGTATAAAATGACAAGGAATTTTAATGATCAAAACATATCTACATTCAAGTATTTATTAAGGAAAGAGAAATGGCTAGACTTATTCGAAATCGAATCCGTAGACGGAAAATTCAACCATTTCCTATCCACAATACAATTCTATTTAGATGTTGCACTACCACTAAAGAAATGTAAACAAAAGGAAAGAAAGTCCAAAACCAAAATATGTCTAGATTCAGATTTGAATGAGTTAAGAGAAAAAATGATTTTCCTTTACACCCTGTCTAAAGATCTCAATATTACACACCCAATTAAAAAATCATACATAAACACTAAAAAGGTTTTTAAGAGTCAAATAAGTTCGAAGAAAGCAGAGGCAATATTTAAGAAGATAAATAACAGTAGCAATGTACAAAAAGAGGTTTGGAGCATAATAAATGACCTTAAACCAGATAAATTGAAGAGACCGTTTAGTAAATTATCAGTGTTTGATTCAGAAGGGAAATTGCTGGATACTCCGGATTTAGTTGCAAATACAATGAATGAGTTCTTTACTAACATTGGAAGAAAACTACCTAAAAACATGCAAACGCAAGATGTACATAGAAGTAAAGATAGTAATATGATCCAACCATCACTATTTCTTACTCCAACTAATGCAAATGAAGTAATAGATATCATTCGATCCCTAAAACCTGGAAACTCCTCTGGAAGGGATGAAATATCATCAAAAACTTTAAAGAAATGTGCTGAAGAACTTGCCGCTCCCTTAGCCTATCTAATTAATTGTTCATTCCAGAGTGGAACATTTCCTGCAGTACTAAAGCTTTCAATAGTCAAGCCAATATATAAGAAAAAAGGAAGCCGGCACGATTGCAATAACTTCAGGCCAATCTCTATATTATCGACATTTTCTAAAGTAACAGAGAAGATCTTCTTAGCTAGATTAAATCAATTCTTAGATAAAAATAAGATTATCAACAAAAATCAGTTCGGGTTCCGTTCAGGTTACTCCACCCTAAATGCTGTGTTCAGCCTGGTTACAGAGGTTTCCAACTCTCTCGACGCAAAGAATCATGTCTCCGGTTTGTTCCTTGACCTTACCAAAGCTTTTGATGTCGTTGACCACAACCTACTTCTAAATAAGCTGGAAAGATTGGGTATCCGTGGAGTGGCTATGGATTGGATGTCTTCTTATGTTAAAGGACGGAGGCAAGTTGTAGAAGTCCCTTACATTGATTCCTCAGGCTGTTTGTGTAGTAGGATATCTGATGAGCGTACTGTAAGTACAGGTGTGCCTCAGGGGTCCGTTCTTGGGCCCGTCCTTTTCTTAATGTTCATCAATGATCTGCCTCCTGTTGTGTCAAATTCAAAGTTACATCTGTTTGCTGATGATACTTCCCTCGTTGTCTCCAGTCAAAATCATGCACAGCTAGAAATCCAAACATTTATTGAGAGTAGTTTTGTTTTCCAATGGCTATACGAGAACTCTCTACATGTTAATCCTCAGAAAACATCACTTTTAGAATTTCGTATACGGCAGAATTTGTCTAACCCATCTGAATCTTTAAATTTACCTGTCGACAACATCAACATTGTTTCTTCTTCTAGTGTAACATATTTAGGAGTAGTCATTGACAGCAATCTGAAATTTTCCAGTCACATCGACAAAATTCACAATAGACTTAGTACTAGTGCTTTCCTTCTTCGTAGGCTCTCCTGTTATCAAGAAAGACGCATCCTTCTGACAGCTTATTACGGTCTTGTTTATCCCTTTCTTACATATTGTGTGCCCGTTTGGGGTAACGACAAACTTCAGACTAAGAAAATATTCAAACTGCAAAAAAGAGTTATCAGATTAATCTTCAACCTAAAATATAGAGAGTCTTGTAGATCTGTCTTTCGTACAAATAATATGCTGACCTTCCCATCAATTTTCATTTTTGAATCTTTGACCTTCTTAAGAAAAAATTCGACAATGTTTCATATTAGAGGGTCATCTCACCACAGCTACAATCTCAGGAGGAACTTTAACCTACATATTCCACTATCTCGTACCACTTTCCATAAAAACCAATCATTCTCCATGTGTATCCGTCTTTTTAATTCTCTTCCTAACTCAATCAAGGGCGAACATGATTTAAAAAAATTTAAGCGTGGTCTGAGGGAATATCTAGTTGATAAGGAATTTTACAGTGTTTCTTCGTTTTTAAATTGTAAATAGTTTGTACCTTTTGAAGTTTGTATCTTATTTTAATGGGTCTGATTTTATTTGTTTAGTTTTAGTGACTTTTGCCCTGTACATTTATGTATTATTATGGCAATAAAAAATTCTGATTCTGATTCTGATTCTGATTCTTTCATCGCTTCAAAGTGGCATCCTTGTGATTGCTGAAGGATGGCAGTACACATTCTTGGTGTTGACCATTATTTTAACTTTATTAGGTTTTTTTTGTTTTCTTCAAGTTAAAGTCTGAGCTATTGACTTTTAAGACCCTGAAGACACCCCTTCTACATTGACTTTAGCTGTCACCAATTTTGTATTATAAAAAACACAATTGCTGACTGACATACTCACAGATTTTGTTACAGTCTAAAATTCAATTTTCTCTCTGAGTTTTTTGTTACCATGATTGTTTATGTGACATAAAAGAGACTTTACACTAAGTTATGCTTTTAGTTTGGCTAGGTCAAAAATTGGTGTATTCAAAAGAATTCAATAATTTCTATTAACACATTTTGTGTGTATGCCTCATTCTACTACATCCATTCACTTGTGTATCTTGTTAACTCCTTGTTGTTAGATAGTATTACTATCATTAATTCATAGTCCATTAACTATTAGTATCTGTCCAGTCCAGTATTAGTATCTGACCTCACTTGGAAACAAACTGTGATGGAATAACTCTATCTTGCTTCAACTTAAACACGAGAATGGAAATTCTAGTTCTTCCCTCAGTCAAAGGTACAACTTTAAGACATGAATGGATAGTCAAGTTCTATCCATAGTAAAAAATTCTAAAATCCTTTACTCACCTAGCGGAGGGTCCGCGCAGACTAAGTGTCACATGATCTCCTCTGTCTCCGTCCGCCACCTCGACTCTCCCCACTACCAAACCTTCCACCCCCACCCCGGCTAGCTCCTCCTCTGGAAGGTCTGGTACGAAGAACTCGTACTGCAAGTAGCGGAACCGAGGATCCCAATCGTTGACGTTCAACACTGAGATGTTGATTTGTGCAGTTGCATTCTGGAGAAAAAGATTTATGTTTATTTTAACTATAACTATTGCATCTCTAAATTATAGTATTATTAAAAGATATACGTTATCAGTATGTATGTTTTGTGTACATTGAAATACACAGTGAAACTAAAGGTGGAGACTGACCCTCTGTTGGTTGACGGTATTAAAAAAGTTTACCTACAGTGTAACGTAAAGGGGATTCCTTTGATTCGTTAAAAAATAAGTAAGTTTTTTTGCTCTAGATCTGATGTTAAATCTGTAATATTAGTCAATGATTTATTGTACCTTTACTTAGTTTTCAGACTTTTTCAATATTTGGCTACATATTGCACTAAAAATTTTTGTTGTACTGATCAATTTTAAATGCAGTACAGTACTGGGACACAAACTCAACCTTAAGGCATTGCTACCTTTATCTCAGATGCCGCCGCGCTACGCAGCTACCGCCTTTAGGAATTGTTTATCATGTCAAAAGGTTTTTGATAAGTCAATGGCTTAGTCAGAAATGTGATGGACTATATAAAATCCAATTCGGTAATAATGAAAGGTCAGTGTTACACCACAGATATTTATCAGTACAGTTAATACTTGTATATTGGCTTACACCTTCTTTTTTGTTCCACCCACTGGCCTTTGAGGCCCATGTGGACGTGCAAATGCAAGGTTAAAAGAGGCATGAAGGTTATTACAACGGTTCATAATTTTTTAGTAGGTTCTGAGCTATGGACAGTTAAACAAAAATATTACTACAGACATATTGCAAAAACCCTTGTAAACTTTATTTAATTCACTATCTTGGAAAACATAAACTAGGTACCATATATCCGTCAGTGCAGTGGACTTGGAAGACGTAGGAGTCTTGAGTCTCAAAATCCAGAGGTTTCTGCAGCACAATGTCTCCACTGGGAGTGACTCGGAACATGTCCTCGTAGTTGTCCAGCCAGAACCTTAGCTTCTGCAACATAATGTTGACAAATATAATTATATATCAGTGAATTTCATCAGAACCGTTAAGTGTGATTAGGTTATTTATTTTTTAAATTAAATAAATAACAGTTGAGGTTTATGAAATAAAAAAAAAACTCTTGGCTTAGGAATAGGTCCACAAAAAAGAAGAAAGTATGGACACAAAGGAAAGACAAGAAAAGAATTACAAACAGTTAATAGCACACATGTAGTCCACAAAGAGATTAATTACAAGACGTCCTTTCAAGGTAGAGGGGTAAAATATCAAATAAATGGTGTTGTGAACTTTTTTGTGGAAGAAACTCCCTCTGGAATTATTTCTTTAATGAGTTAGTTGTGAGTTAATCCTTCTTAGTTGATGGTAAACATTATTATTCTTCTTAATAGTTTAAGTTAAACTTAAATTTTTCAGTTTCACCAGGGACATTTTAAATCTCTTTTCTTCGTGCTTAGTGCTTGCTTGTGACCTTCGAAAAATCCAACCACTCTATGTCCTTATGACTGTTAAAGAGTTGGCATATTTTTCCAAGCGATACCATTTTGTATTGAGCGAGTTGGAATGGAGGAATTTCACAACTAACTATCTAGAATAATATCATAAATTGTATTCATGTACTGTTAACTAGTCACAAAAAGAACTTGATAGTTAAATATTCAGAAGATCTTTATGTCTTAGTTAATTTAGTAATTTTATTTTACAATTTACAGTCCCAAAAACCTTTTATGCATAAGTATGCATTAGTTAGTAGCAAAACTAATGAGTGACCATCCTTTTTTCCGGGACAAACGACAACCTGCCCCAAAAAAACTCTCTTTGAGGCGCAATGCCACAATGGGCCCTGGAGATAATTGTGCCTTTGGGCCCATTCATTAAAGCGGCCCTGCTTTGAGAGATCTGTGCATCAAACCCCCATAGTATTCATCTCCTGTTCTACAGCAGAAGTATTTTATAGTGTAGTTAGTTTTAAATTAGAAACTACTAAATACAACTATCGATTCCCACCTTGTCTCTGTGCCTGTTGGTGATTACGGTCAGCAGTACACTGTTGAGAGGCACAGACTCCAGCACTCCAGCAAAGTAGTGGCTCTGGAGGAACTGGAGCTCCTTGAGGCTGGTGCCTGGACGAGACACAGTCAGGGTGGACAGAGCGTATCTGTCTGGGTTGTCGTATTGAGTGGCCTGGCAAAATGGTGAACATCGTTAGCTTTTGTAGGAAAAAATATTTTAAAAACAATTTGTGTGATTAATGTCAGTGCTTTTCAAAGCTTTTTGTAAGCGAACAACATATACACATATAAAATCCCACCAAAATGAACCCATTATCCTACATTATATCTTGTGTACTGTTTTTACCTTTACAACCAATGTGGCAGGCTGGAGAAGTTCATCATCAGGAATTGTTTTCTTGACAATAACATGTCCTGTCGATCTGTCGATTTCAAAAAATCTTGTATCCGAATTTTCTGTAACAATTCAACAAAAAATTTATAGTAATTGATGGAAAACAATATTTTAATGTTAGGCAATTAGACTTTTAGGACTTCATGTTATATTTGCTGTGTTTTTTCTATGATTATCTTGTTTGACTTAACTTTAGTAAAGAATATGATGAAATTTCCTCTGTAAACTCTTATAAAAAAGTAATTTAGAATTGGTATTCGTCATTCTATTCTATTTCTTTATCCTTTTGTTTGATCTAGAAGTGATTTTATTTGTGCCCTCATTAGTCATGTAGGCAATTTTTTTTTATTTGATCGAGGCAGTGCAAAACAACGCTGTGTATTTTAAGCTAAATGGGAATAGAGGATATGAGTGTACTATAATAATGTAGGATGACTAGTGAAGCTTATTTTTGTTACAGAATAACTTTTGAACTGATCATCATTATTTAAAAGTCTATATGATGAAATAATGTTTAAACCTTCTAACAACCCAAGTGTGGTTGCCCTGGTTGGAATAGGGCCGCAGCCTTCCCCGGCTTGTTGTAAGAGGCGACTAACCAGGGCTGGGAGATCTTTCTCTTAATGCTGCCAACTTTCTCTCGGGCGAAGTTTTCTGCTTATATTTGGCTTAGTGATCAAAATATTTTGTATTTCTTGACAACATTATTCCTTCAACCCCGTTTTGGGAGTTTTTCCTCTTTCATTACTGATCATCATCCATTAGAGGTTCTTGGGAATGCCCCTCTAGTGCAGAGGTGCTAATATGTGCCTCTCTCTGCTGTTGGGACATCTTAGTGCTAAACATGTCTCCCAAAACAGGTGACAGCCTTAAATTATTATGGTAGGGCGGTGGCAGAGGAACCTCTTACATGTACTTTGCAGATGGAGAGCTTGGGGATAGTACTCCTGTGTCAGAAATATGTTGACACAGAGAGTTGCATTGAAATCTGGCTCCGAAACATAGAGAAGGATTTTAAGACAATGAATGTGTTGGACACCTTCCAGGCTCAGGAAAGTACGATCCAAGTTGTCAAGAACAATGTTGCCAAACTCAAGGCTGATCCTGGTATTGTCTTCTTTCCGGCTAATGTGGAAAGCAGCTATGGAGAAAATAGCAGAGATGGTTGTCTCCATGCCCTACAACATGGCGCCACCTTCATCCAAGAAATACAAGAGGCCTTCTAGGCTGTAAAGACTTCTAAAAAAGTAAAAGAGGTTGTCCAGACCACAACACCTAAAAGTTAAAGCTATGACAACCCAGAAGGACCTTCAACAGCAGCCACCAAACAGAGTTAATTCACCCTGAGAAATCAAGGGACGATTTACAATTTCAATCTGTGGCGTCTAGGCTACAACTATCTTGTAGCGTACAAACTCAGAACCTACTCTCCACCTAATGGAGGCACTATGGCAAGGAATCTTAAGTCCCTTTTCCTGGCTCACTCGATGTGCAAACTGGGGGAGTTTGGAATGATGAACAAGGATGCAAAGGTGGTTTCTTTCCTTAGCCAAATAGACAGTTAAAGACTAATGTCAGAGGTCCTTGGTCTGATCGTAGAAGGCTGATGATGTCTGTGGTACAGTCTGTATTATGGTGCGGAAGCGTACGTGGGTAGATGCACTCAACAAAAAAGTACAGTTTACAGAATGCAACTTGCCTGAGTGCAATGTCAGGCAGCATTTAATTTAGCATCTGCCTACTAAACTGTGTGCGGACCCACACTCTGATGGCAGCTAGAGTCATGTACAATTTTTGTTGTGGAGAGGATGGCAATTTTTAGTGAGTGGGAAAGGCCAAGCATTCCACAAGCGCATCCCCACGTATCGGCTCTGATACGAGGAGTTTGGAACAGCAAACACGTGGGCACACTGGATTAGGCGACCAATACAGCAAGTCCAACCTTGGGTCAATCCACTATACACTAGAGGAGGACAAATTGACTTGTGTATCACAGTTCGTCAAGGATATTCTCTAAGCTAAGAAGCTTGGTTTTGACAGGGATGCGATGACTTAAAGAACTGAATGCCAGAAACTCTGCAACCGCTGGGGGAGAAAATCATATGCTGACCTGATGTGAAGAAATGTGACAAAAAGTTCCAGTTCTGTGACTAACAGAGTGGATTTTCAGAGTAGCCTGATCAATTCAGGAGTCTCAAACTGCAGGCTTACCCTGTAGTCCAACTGAGACCATAAACACATTTCCCCTCCCCTCATTCTAAAAACGACACCATAATCTCTTCTGAATATTGTCTGAATTACTTACCATTGTTGAAAGAGTAAAAGATAGCAGCATTGATAGCTACATCCTGGTCATATGCCATGATCTCTCTGGGTTGTATCCTTAATCTGGTGCCCTGGACAAAGATTAAATACTTTTGTTAAGTGACCAATACACAAATATTGAATGAGTTTAGTCCCAGAACTCTGACCTACAAGAAAATATATCTGTAGTAATCGATTCTAGTAGAACTTCAACCCAATCTCAATAAGAGTCAGTGTAAATAGATAACCCTGGTAGCTACAGTAGTACTGTTTAAAACTATCTATAAATGCTGATTTATTTAAATTACTAAGCTACAGTAAATTATAAATTACTATGCTAGTCCTATAACACTATATACTTTTTAAAGGATTCTCCACAGAAACCATTTTTACAGTACCCAAAAAAGTAATTTATGGTTCCTTTAATTAAGTTTACTAAAGGAAAAAAATGAATTATTGAACACACCTGTGTAGCTTGGTCTGGCACGATCGCTGAGTATCTCTCATCCAGAAACTTAGGGTTCTGGTCGTCTGCATCTATCACATTGACGTGGACTTGAGTATCGGAGAATTGTGGTGGGTTTCCTTGGTCCTGTGGAATAAAACCAGTTTCAAAATGGTTAAAATTAAGGAGAAAAGTTTATTTTTGGAATGCCATGACTTTGTTGGGCAAAATCGCAAAATGATAACAGTGGGAGCAAAGTTAATAGGATGTAAGATTGAGAGTGGTGGAGAGTATCTGCAGGCAAGTTTGCACAACCAATAACCTCATGTTAAAAACCTCTTAAGATCTGTGCTGGGTTAGGGCAGGTTAGTTATTGAACTCAATCTCAATAATTTTATGTATACAAAATATGTACCTGTACCTTAAAGATTGAGTTATTTTCCTTATAAGACTGTTACCAAGTAAAATCTTATGTTTCGAGATTTTTCCAGCTATGACCATAGAAATGTTTACTTTTTACCATCTAACTATATTTGAATATTATTATGTTTGAATAAAATTAACAAAATGGTGTATGCATCCTCACACAATTGAATTCTGAATTACAAATTGCTTTTAAATCCATTCTTTTATATTAAACAAATTGTTTGTATTTTAAAATTAATAGGTGAACTTTCATTTATGTCTTTTTTGCGTGATCATTTAAGCAGAACTCGGACTTGGTTCTGTAATTTGTCGACTATATGTTTCTTTGATTGAAAATCTAGAAGGATAGATTCAGTCCCAGCTTTAGAACATAGTGTAAAAACGTTTTTAGGAGGTTTTCATCTAGTACCCATATATTTATTCAGGTTTACCTGTGCTCGGATGCCGATCGTGAAGTTAGAGAGTGCCTCATAGTCGAGAGGCTTACGGAGGACGATCGTTCCTTCTAACTCGTTGATGAACACAAAATAATCCTGAAAATGTAAATATGGATAACAAAAGGGTCAAAATACAGCTCCTCAATATAACAAGAAAGTAAACCCAGCAATTAAAAAAACATCCCTAGTTAATGCTTAGAAATTTTTTTATTAAAAAGGGTACCCTTTTATGTTTATTTTACTTTATTAAATAACTTCTTGATCATCATTGTACGTGTTATTGAATTTACAGAAAATAAATAAAAGAAACGTCTTATAACACTTTCCGTATTTTACTTTATGTATGATGGCCGTATTCGTATAAATTAGCAGTGTAATTTAAACATCTTTTCAATCATTCGCATCCTTTATTTGCCAGACTAAATGGTATCTTCTTTGTTCTGACCTAAAGGTGGTGACATAATAATACTTTGCCAAATTTAAATAAAATATCAGATATTATTTGAGAAGTTGAATCTTAAGTAGGAAATTAGTTTTCCCACCTATAAGATTTATATATTTAATTTTTGTTGAAAGAATAGTGTTCGCTTTCAACAACTATGACCATTTACTGCTATCAATTGCTACACCTGATAGATCACTCACGCATTGACGTGTAAACACTATATAATAGCTTACAGAGTTTGGTCCGGGTAATACAGAGTACTGCACTGTAGAGAATGGTCCTTGCTGATCCAAATCTACTGTTTTGACTGCCTGAAGTACACGGGTACCAACCACAGTTACCTGCAATCAATATTTAGGTATGAAATTAAATAGGAAACACTATAATACCAAATATAATATTTAAAAAAATACAATTCAGGCCTTCTACAGTTTTCAAGCGGTAATGACGTACTTTGCACTCTACACAAATACTGTAGCTATTAAAACATATTGTAAAAATACTAGGTAATAACATTTTATGGTAATTTCTTCTTACCTCAGAAATATTGAGTATGTAAGGAGCATTGATGAACTTTGGTGCATTGTCGTTGACGTCCGTGACTCTTATACTGACAGGAATTACAAAGCCCTGTAAGCAAAGAATATACAAATATTACAAGGATTACTTTATCTGTCTCATAAGTTATTTGATACATTTTATAAATACTAATGGTTTTGATCAATATCTCAAAAAGACATTAACTAATCATAAAAATAATCACATTTATGCTTTGAACTAATCTGATGGAGTAGACCTACTGTATCAACTAACTGTAGTAGATGTATTAGTTGTCAGTTATTGTTGTTGTTAGCATCTCAGACTTAAGCGTGAAAGATATGTGTTAGATTCCCGGAACACCCACACAAATCATCATCAGGTTTGGACTGCTTTCCTAAAAAGTGTTTCTGGTACCTCCTCTTTAAGTACCTACTTAATAAATGCCTAAACATACACAATCAAATAATTTTGTGACTACTCAGTCACCATCATGGGGTTGTATATAACCATACCGAAACTCTTTACTTTGATACTTCAATATTATTGTCTGGGTAGTGTTGAAAAAAATTTTCTATCTATTATAAAAACATAAGTACTAAATTTAAATTTATTTATGAAGAGGACTTACCGGTACAGTAGTTCTTCTTCTATCACAGATAATGTTAATATAGACTGAAGCAGGACCATCGATTCCCTAGAAATAATGAAAATTAATAATAACTTTATGGGCAAAAACACAACGTGGTAGTATTGACTATAGTCAATGGTGAAAGTAAAAAACACGTTATTCACAGCCTTTGTCATTTATAAAGAAGTTTTGACAAAACTCTCAATGATTTTAAAAACAAATATTAAGAAGCAGAGTTATTTCATTTTGCCCTTCTCATCAAGATCGAATATCTATTTCAGGGTTTATTGGACTGCAGGGTTAAAAGTGGAATTTGAGGCTATTTTGTTTAATTGATGAATTCAATACTTTTTCCATATTTTTAACATACAGTACAGTGATAATTGAAGTTTAATCTACATCCTTCCCTTGTTGTTTAATCGTTTATTTCATATTAGCCAAGAAATGTCTCTTAATACTTTGATATGGACAAGGATAGCTGGATAATACTCTTATCATCATAGTTGATTGACATGTTTGACCTGACCCTTGCACCTCCTCCTCAATAAGTCAACACAGACTATAGTTCTCACCACATCAAAGTTGACTGATCCATCCTTTGGTATTGTAATGATTAATTTAATTTATTAAATCAATTTTCAAAACTGTTCTACGGCTCAATCCAAGTTTTCTTCGAAAACTTTAAAATATATCGCCAGTCTGGCTATAATTATTTTACAAAACTTTATTTATCCATAACTACTAAAGTTGTTATTTTAGACACTGTACTGACAACTTTAACAGACTTATGGTCATATCCAACCAGAAACGGCCTTTAAAGAAACTACCAAAAACAACAAACACAAACACTAATGTTTAGCATGAACCGAAGTCTCCCGGTCCCGTGTGTATGTGTGTGAGGGAGTGGGAGAGGATAATATGTCCTTTAACGGATTTATAATCAATGTTACCTCCTTGTCCAGTTTCCTAGTGAGAGTAAGGTTTTTAGATCCCGGAGCTATCCTGACCGGACTGTCAAGCTCCTTGAGTCTCAAGTCAATGTTTCCTGTAGGACCAGGGTCCCCCAGGATGTGTAGAGTCCCTGAAAAAGACAGGAAATTAGTGAGAAAAAAAGTCACAGATTATTTAATAATAATAATGTAGAACTGAATTAACATAACAACAAATCTATACAAACAGGTCATTAGACTAGTTTCTTTGTGATGACAGAATTTTAGGGAGGTCGGAAGTCGATGACAAGTTAAGCTCTAATGCCGCTAGCTACTTCTATTACTCCTGAAGGGTTTGATTTAAATGTTAATCATAACTGTCTTGAAGTGTAAATTTGAACAATTGGATGAAAGTTAAAATTAAGAAGCGATTCGACTGACAGAATGATAAACCTGTTTGCAAAACAATTAGATTGGCCCTTTCAGGATGTATCCTGTCATAATTTCAAAATTAAAAGTCAAATCCAAGTTAAATAGGTATTAGATATGGTTTTTGATATATACCAATACACAATGATAAGTAGCTTAAAAATATGTATGATTCCAAAGATACCCAAGGGAAATCAAAAAGTTAGTTGATGCGCCTGAGTCAATGATGTAGGCAAAACCGAGTCTGAAAAGTGCTGGAATTGCGGCTAGAGCATTGTAGGCGCAAAGGTAACACATTATGCTTGAACCAGTGAAAATTTTAAGAGCGGGAATATATTTACTGACTAGTTAGTTTTGTGTTGTACCCTTTGCATACATGAAGTAGACACTCAATTCCAATAGTGTTTTAGTCTTTTCGATTAATATACAGGGTGATTGGTACTCAGTGTGACAAAAGTTTTTGGTTTAAGTACAAAGTAAGAAGTGTGATGATGCATATAAAATGTTCCAAGTCTAAAAATTAGCTTCCCAAAAGATTATTTTATGTTTTTTTTTCAAAAATTACCATGCTTTTAAACTTAATACAGCGATTTCTCAATTACCTGTGTATGGATTTGTGTAGATAATGTCATTTTCGTGTTCTACATTAAATTTTAAATAAGAATAACACAAAATTACAGAGTATCAGTTGTAAAAACTCCATTGTAAATAGATTCAAAGATACAAATTAAGATGTTTGATTAAAATTTAAAAACAATGGTCTATTGCATTTTTCACACCCTGTATACAAGAAAGTGTCGGAATATGTTAAAAACTGTGCCATTTTATAAGCTTTCCAACCATATGCTACACTATTGAGGTTTAGATATTTTTTCGTTTGCTTTGGTGGTTTGAATGCCAGAAAACAGGGAATTTTTTTACTGTTTTACTATTCAAGCTGAAACAAAAATACAACTTTTGCTTAATACATGCCGACTTTCTATGTTTTAAATGTTAAAGACACCATGCTTTGTTGTCTTCAAACCACTAAAGCGTACATAAGCAGACATAAAGCTCAATGGTGTAGCATATGGTTGGAAAGCTTATAAAATGGCGCAGTTTTTAACATATTCCAACACTTTCTTGTATACAGGGTTTGAACAAATGCAATTGACCAACGTCTTTTTAAATTTTTATCAAACATCTTAATTTTTATCTTTGAATCTATTTACAATGGAGTTTTCACAACTGACCCCCCGTCATTTTGTATTATTCTTATTCAAAATTTAATATATAACACGAAAATGACATTATCTACTCAAATCAATTTACAGGTAATTGAGAAATAGCTGTATTAAATTTAAAAACATAGTTATTTTTGAAAAACATAAAATAATTCTTTGGGAAGCTAATTTTTAGACTTGAACATTTTATATGCATCATCACACTGCATTTACTTTGTACTTACACCAACAGATTTTTGTCACACTGAGTACCAATCACCCTGTATGTATACTTAGTTTAATTTAGCAACCTACAGTCTGCGATTAACACAGACATTTATATCCTGGATATTAATAATTTTAAATGACACAAATAGCTGATTTTTAAGACTTACCGACGACGGATCCTACTGGCAGATCTTCGCTGACGAAAAAACTTTCCGCTGATCCTCCGGTCTCCAAGAAACACCTGTTGTCGGGTCCTGTAACAAGGGAAATAACTGTTTAATATGTGTTCCACCAAAAAGGATTTGATAAGGAGAGTATTCTTCTAGTAATCACGCAGCGTTCCAAAGGTTAAATCGTGTGGTTTAGGAAGTGGTTTAGAAAATCTACGGAATTTGCGGTTTCCAGAACAAGTAGGAGGGTGAGTCTACAAGGAAGTTTGCGGTGGCGCCCAAAAGGCGTCATAAACAGGATCGCTTTACTAAGTTCTCATGGGTATTTTTTACATTTATTCATTAACTTAAAATCATATATTCACATAAATTAGGACTATGTGCCACACTGATTGTCGTTCTTCAATACTGTTACTCATTTTACAAAGAAAATGCTTTGCAACTAGTTTGAGTAATGTTGCTCATTGTTGTTTGTGTCGTGCATTTAGAGTGTTTGCACGATTTTTGAAAAGGGGCCAAGTTTCGTCGATTATCGTTTGATATCATAATTAACTTGTTAGCCCAATTAACAATGATATCTTGATCTCGATTGTAGTCATTTGATAGGTATTGTGCTAACTGGACTTGGTGAGACATACACAATTTTAATTTCCAGCGAAGTATGTGAAACTAAACACTAGTCATGCCCGACATAAATATAGTTTTCATGAAGTACGACCTCATATAAAAAAACGGCGATAGTTTAAGTAACTGATTCAAAGTTTATGCACATAACAATTAACTGACCCACTAGGCCAAGCCATAAAACTACCATCTACGCCATTACCGTAAATAAATGTTGTGCCACTAAGGTAGTTTTATATAGTCAATTGTCATGTTGTACCTAGACGTTTGTGTAACAACAAGCAATTCGGAGGAAAGGTGTATTTTACAACAATTGGCCCCTATGCTCCAATATACATTTTAATACATGAGTTTCCATTTCAACACTACTGCAGTAATCAACACGTAGTTTTCCCTACAACTTTAACAAGCTTTTACGTAAACATTTTCTTCGAAACTTACATTTTAAACATTCTAAAAAACAGTGAAATCGTTCCCAATAATTAGCTGTCCAACATTTCGATTTCCCAATCCTTTCGCCAGACCACTATACTTTTCCAGACAAAACCACTTAGGTCTATTGACAATTACACAGTACACCACCCTTGCATGTAGAGTAACGGTCAGGGTAATGCAGGATCGTTGTCGCTACGGAGTGACTCCAGGTTCCCAGCCCGGCTTCCCATGGTCCGTCCGGGCGTGACGCCGCACGTGCCCAGGAGGTCACGGTTCATCACGCTTGACATCTGTGTCTCGTGTCATTCAGGTTGAGGTTTTACACAACCTCGAGCTGGAAGATTAACGGAGTGTTGGGCAGTGGTGTACGACAATGCCTGCTGGAGGGAAACGTTCGAGGATGATTTGATGGGAATTTATATTTTGGAGGACTTTTCCGGGATAAGGTACTCAGTACGTACCGGTATTTAGTATGAATTCACTTTAGTTTTTTATGAGTTAGCTAATCTATAAATATTGGGTAGGTGTACATTTTATGGCAATGTGATTTTATTCGAAACATGGGATGAGGCTAACAAGCAACTGGTACCCTGAAAATCTAATATGGAGGTAAAAATCCAACATGGCCGCACTCCAACGCGTTAAATCCTAATGGTCACATCTACAGAAAAACAAAAGATATGCAGAACACAATGGGAACATCGTACTGAACTAAAATCAGCATCAGCCTGCATGGAATGTCGCCGGCTAATTACCAACGACAAAGTCCATAAAAAATCAGTAACTTTTTCATGTTTCGTGAAACGTTTGATAAATGGTCCTCTATAAAGTACCAGCTCATCTTAGTGACACATAAAGCCAAACAAGTCTTATCTTTATCAATCCATTCTACACTGATCCTGCTATCCATTTTGAAATTCGCACATAGGAGCGCGTCACTGACTTAGTTTAAACATAATTAAACAAATATAAAACTTATACTGTATTTTCTTAGACAAGATGACTAACTGGATGTTACAATAACCTACAAACCTCGTCCCGCCTATTGTTCTTGTATACTGTAAGTACTAGAATATTTTACATACTCCATGGCGATGGAGGAGCCCGGGAGACGAGGGGAGGAAACGGAACCATAGGGCGTACTTCCGGCCTCAGTCACCGGAACTGACAACAGGTGGTGCTGTGAGGCAAGAAACACGACTGGCTGCAGGTTTGGAGGGCACAGGTTCAATTAAATAGAAGATGAATAGCATTCCCCAAAGATATACCGTTTGAACAAATCAGAAACATCAATCAGCATTTTCGCCAGTACAACGCGGTCATCTACAGAAGCTCAAGCTTTGGAAGATCAAGGTGTTACAGCATAAAACACAGTGTTATCTGATGATAGGTCAGGGAATCAGTAGGGTTTCATAATAAGTAAGATGTGTGGGGCGTAAATTTTTAAATCTTCATTTTAATTTGATTCAAAGCCAGTAGGTAAAGTCATAGGAGATATAAGAAATGAGCTAGGGAACAAATCTGTGTGGCGAAATATAGGCCTAACCATAGGTGAATATAGCAATGCTTCGGGAAAATTCAAAGCAGGAGCTGCATTTTGATAGACGGGCCAGTAAGTGATTAACAAATCAAAATTATTATTGGGGTAGCTTAATTTGACATATTTTGTGAGCCATTTGAAGTTTTTATGTAAAAATATTCGACCGAAGACGTGAACCGATTTCCAAAATCCACGTTTATCAAGGTTATGGACGGTATTTTTTAAGGTTGGGTAATGTTCCTTCCTAAAGTATCTCGTCCTCTTCAATCCTAAGTCAATAGGGCCATTCGTCAACTGACTGACCTTCTATAGTTGTCGTCAAATATCAACCTACAATCAAAAACACACAAACACACAAATATCAAACACAAACAAATACAAATACAATCAAATATCAGCTTACGATGTCGTGATGTTCCAGTGTGCTTAAAACCTATATGGAATCCCTCCCTCACCCACGGATTATTTTTAGCCCATATCTGAACCCAAGATTTTACAATCGGCCTTTGGGTAAAAAAAAGACATCTGTGTAGGTTTAAATAAAATCAATTTAAATTTAAACTACTGTACGATTTAAACTGAATATAGTGCTGGAAAAATGATGCAACATCTATCACTTAAAATTCAAGAATATAATTATCCACGCATTCTTTCTACGACACGCATAAAAGTGAAACGGTCATCCGCTTCATATTCAAATTACGTTTGTGCATTCAAATGTAGATGCGACCGGGAAGCAAAAACTTCTGTCCATCATAACTGTTTTAGATGCCTAATCATCAGTATTATCCTCCTAATCGCACTGCTGAGTATTATGGACCTCTCGTCTATTAGGCACAAAGGTCAAAGGCTCTAGTAATTAGAGACAAAGGCGGCTTCAGAATGAATAGAGGTAGTGCCTTGGTGGCCGTACTGGGTATTAATCATTGGCTGACTAAGCAACTGTTTAATCTGGACAGATAATGTAATAGAAATGTATTTAAAATAGGTATTGTAAGTTGAAGCTTTATTGAAAATACTGTTTACTGCCAATAATCCGGCACTTTGGGGATCGGAAGGGTGTTGGAGTACCAAAATCTCCAAAATTACACTTAAACTAGGAAGTCCACTTATAATTTCCTAATATGTATGGTTTGACTAGTTAAGAATTATTTGACTATTCAATACGTATTGTTTAAATTAAATGATTATTAACTGATTATTTGACTATTTAAATTTACAATTTTAAGCATTATATCCCCTTTATCTTTAGTATAGTTTTGGTACTTGGTAGTCCGACGTGTATGATAACCATGTAATCATTCCGATCAGTAAATGAGTCTTCGTTCTAATCTGTTCATTTGAAGTTTCATTCAAAAACTTTCTGTTTTGACTGTTCGTTTATTTACATCTTTCACCGAGTTCCAACTTTGTGTACTAGCTGAGGCAACATACACCCTGGAAAGACTGCTTCAATTGAAGAGTTAAACGTCTCATCAAACCGCTGGGACCACTGTTCCCTACCTTTCTATTGTTGTACAATGCATCTATTGTTTCAACATTTAGTCGAACTATTGTTGATTTGAACTATTGTAATTTCCTTGATCTTAATAGGTGAATGAGGGGAGAGCGAGCCGGTTCCTGAGGTCCCGGGTTCAATTCCATCCAAATCACCAATGGATTTGATCTTAGTGGTAATGCCGCACTTCTTAGGACAAAAAAAAAACTTCTTAGGACAAAAAGGTGGAACTCTCCTCTATTTATAAGAGTCATTCATTACGTAATGATAAATTTGTTCATAAATACAACATATTTTAATGAAATATTATGTTTTAGCTAATGTTGTCACTTACATTTCTTATCAATGCATAGCCCCCAGGAATATGATACTCTTTTTAAAACTAGCTGTAATTTTCATAACGTAAACCAACTATTCACTTGACCAAAAGGACGTGATGAAATAGCCTAATCAGCTGTTTGATCGTATTCCCGCGAAATCACGCATCGCAAAACCCGCTCACCAGCTGACAGACTTACCCGCCACTCTTTTCCGCCATCTTGGATTGATAACAGCTTGTTACACAAATAAAACACAGGTTAGGTTCGTAATATGCAGTTTGCTCTTTGTCATTAACTCGATTACGTGCAATATGCTCGAGTAATCTCGCTTAGTAAAACACGTCCTTAGCTTTAAGGAGGTTTATAAGTTAGAAAAATAAACGCCGGATGGAATTTGGAGTCATTCCTTAAATTATTCCTAGACCAAATTAATGCCATTAGCATAGTCATTAACAAAACAAAAACTCTATTATAAAAAGTAATCAAAATGGATTACTAAAGCTGAAGGTTGTGATCATTATGACGTTTTAACTTAAAATCCTACTAATATTATAAATGAGAAAGTTTTGCCTCTATAAACGGATTGCGTTTAAATTCAAAATTAGGCGTGTCTAGTTTCAAAATGATATGTTTCATAGTAAATTCACCCTAAGCTTTCTCTGCCTCA